TTGTATTTATTATAACTGTTGTTATATTTATTATAACTGTTGTTACATTTATTATAACTGTTGTTATATTTACTATAACTGTTGTTATATTTATTATAACTGTCATTGTATTTATTATAACTGTCGTTATATTTAATATAACTGTTATTTATTATTATATTTATTATAACTGTTGTTATATTTATTATAACTGTTATATTTATTATAACTGTCATTGTATTTATTATAACTGTCGTTATATTAATTATAACTGTTATTTATTATTATATTTATTATAACTGCTGTTATTTATTATTATATTTATTATAACTGCTGTTATTTATTATTATTTTTATTATAACTGCTGTTATTTATTATTATATTTATTATAACTGTTGTTATATTTATTATAACTGTCGTTATATTTATTATAACTGTTATTTATTATTATATTTATTATAACTGTCGTTATATTTATTATAACTGTTATTTATTATTATATTTATTATAACTGTTGTTATATTTATTACAACTGTTGTTATATTTATTATAACTGTTGTTATATTTATTATAACTTTTGTTATATTTATTATAACTGTCGTTATATTTATTATAACTGTTATTATTTATTATTATATTTATTATAAATGTTGTTATATTATAAATGTCGTTATATTTATTATACATGTTATATTTATTATAACTGTTATTTATTATTATATTTATTATAACTGTCGTTATATTTATTATAACTATTATTTATTATTATATTTATTATAACTGTTGTTATGTTTATTATAACAGTTGTTATATTTATTACAACTGTTGTTATATTTGGCTGAAACCTTGGCTGAATGCAGAGGTGCGTACCCTGCTGGAAGCCAGGAACACTGCCTTCAGGTCTGGAAACTCAGAGGAGCTGAGTAGGACAAGAAAAGAGCTGGTTGCTGGTATTAAGAGGGCCAAGGCCACATATGCACAGAGGGCCGAGGGTCAATTCATCTCACAAGACCCTCGGAGCATGTGGAGGGGCATTAAGTGCATAACAGATTATAAAGGAAGGAGTGAACAATGCCCCAAAGACCCATCTCTGCCTGATGCCCTCAACAAGTTCTATGCACGCTTTGAAGACCCGAACAGACCACCCAGCACCAGACTCACCTCACCACCGGATGAAGAGCATCTCAGCGTGACCTCAGCAGAAGTAAGGAGTACCTTCAGGAGGATTAATCCGCACAAAGCAACTGGCCCAGACAACATCCCCAGAAAAGTGTTGAAGGAATGTGCTGATCAGCTCTGTGAGGTGCTGGCAGACATCTTTAACACCTCACTTACCCTGGAGACAGTTCCCACCTGCCTGAAGACTGCCACCATCATCCCAGTCCCAAAAAGCTCTACAGTGACTGGTCTGAATGACTATCGGCCAGTGGCCCTCACCCCGATAGTCACTAAATGCTTCTAAAAACTGGTCATGACTCACATCAAAACAACCATCAACATCAACGAGGACCCTCATCAGTACGCATACCGTGAGAACCGATCAACAGAGGATGCAATCTCCTCTGTGGTCCACACTGCACTCAACCACCTGGAGCAGAAAAACTCTTACGTCCGTATGCTCTTTGTGGACTTCACGTCTGCCTTCAACACCATGATCCCCCAAACCCTGATGGACAAACTATCCACACTAGGACTAAGCCCCTCCATCTGCAACTGGGTACTAGACTTTTTAACAAACAGACCACAGTTAGTGAGGATCCACAACCTCTCCTCCTCCACCATAACCCTCAGCACTGGCTCTCCTCAGGGATGTGTGTTGAGCCCCCTCCTGTTTACTCTGCTCATGTATGATTGTGCAGCTACCCATCCAGGCTGTCACATTGTAAAGTTTGCAGATGATACAGCGGTGGTGGGATGCATCACAAACAATGATGAGTCCAGCTACAGGCAAGAGGTGGAACACCTGG